CTTTCATGTAGATACTCCTAAAAAAACATGTACCTTCACCATCAATGCTAACAGAACCTTTAAAATTCATTTCAGAAAAGAGAAGAAAATCACTGTTAAAAATCGTCTCAGAGATTCTCCTGATGAAATTTTTCATGCTGCGTCCTTATATTATAATAATTCTACTCCTTCTTTACTTGCATTACATTTGCTCTATGATAATATCATTGATTTTGTTCTTCCGCAATCTTTGTATTCAACTCAACTCAAATCCATTCAATCTGCAATCACTGATGCTAGTCCCTTAGTTTACTAGACTGATGGTTCATTAGACAGTGCTCGTTCAGAAAACTGCAAAATGTGCCTTAGTTGGATTTGTATAGACAGTCATGCTCACCACCATAACTTTTCTGCTTCTTTATCACATTGGCTATCATTAACTAGAGCTGAGATTTATGCTTTTCTCACTGTCATACTGGTCACTCCTCAATCAGCTACCTTAAATATATATACTGAAAGTCTTGCCCTCATCCATGGCTTTCATTCTTATGTGTTTGACTCCAGACTCTCCAACAGAAAAATAGAACAGATTTCCAATTATACTATTTGGAATCTTATCCAGTATGTACACAATGCGCTTAACCTCCATATTAACCTATTTAAAGTCAAATCGCATACTGGAGATATCCTAAATGATCAGGCTGATATATTAGCCAAAAATGGAAGACACTTACCTCTGATCTCCCTTAATATCACTGGTATTGGCTTGAGAAACCTTGTCCCACTGTTCAATAATATTTCTATAGAATCATTCATATGAAAGTTTTTTAAGGATTTCTTTTCTGCCAATACTTTTGTTGACGCTTTTCTCACGCTTTCTCGTAATGAACCAATTAGACTCTTGACTATCAGCTCATTTATCAACTGAATCACTACATGGAAATTTCTTTCATTAGATTCTTCGTCACTCGTCACATCATTTATTTCTACTAGACTAAAGACCTTTATTTTCAAAAATTTATTGGATGAACTTCCTGTCACAGCTAAAATAGCTCAGCTTCTCCCTGACCTATACAAAGATTGGAAATGTGTCAGCTGTAATGTCAATACAGAAACTATTTTACATTTATGGCAATGTTCAGCCTATGAATCAAGGATCACTACAATTATTCTTCTAACAAGAAAATTTCTAGATGAACTTCTCAAAGTACATTTTTTCGATTCTTTCCTGATTATTGACATTAATTCCATTTTTATTCAAACATTCAGTATCTCTTCAGACACTGTTCTTATTCATATTATGAAAGCTTTAATCTCAACCTCTCTTGTATCTGTTATCTATAAAGCTACACAAAGCAGAAACAAAGCCATTAAAATTATCATCCAACTTTTTTTGTTCTTTTTCAAAAAATGTATGAAGATGTTTGGAAACTTCGTTGCAAATATATGATTGCTAAAGAAAAATATTTGGGTATATTCTTAAAGGACAATCATTTATGCAGTGTCAGTAAATCTTTAGGTTATACTAATAATCAACATGCTCCTAATATGTGGGAAACTTGGATACATCTCTCGATCAAGTATGGTAACAAATTTTCAGATTTTTAGATAGGCACTGACTTTCTCTTTTATTTTTTTTATGATAATAGTAATCATTAGATATGTATTTAGTGGGTTTGTTGAAAAGGAAAGATGATGATAGGTCAATTCAAACAGGTTTGTAATATAATCACGTGGGATAGCTAGTACTTATATATAGATTTTTAAGATTTACTTTTTTGTATTTTGTATAAATTTAATAAAGTTATTAGCAGTGTTATATCGTAAAAAAAAATATTTATTAGTTTTTGCAAAAAATCCAATTCAATCTGATGGATTCAGATTTGGATTCAGATTCGATCCATCAGATTTGGATTTGGATTCAGATCTGATTTGTTAGATTTAAAATAAAGAATGCCACCTGAAAGTCAGACACAGCATTTATTATTAAAAAATTAATTTTTATTAATTTTTAATAACAAAATGCCATCCTAAAAGTCAGACACAACATTTATTAATAAAAAAATTAATGTTTAATAATAAAATGCCACCCTGAAAGTCAGATGCAGCATTTATTAATAAAAAAATTAATTTTTATATTAAAATACTGCCCTGAAAGTCGGATGTAACATTTATTATTAAAAAATTCATTTTTAATAATTTTTAATATTAAAATGTTGCTCCGAAAGTCAGAGGAGCATTTATTAATAAAAAAATTAATTTTTATATTAAAATGCCACCCGAAAGTCAGAGGCGGCATTTATTAATAAAAAACAATTTTTTATTAATTTTTATAATAAAATGCTGTCCCAAAAGTCGGGGGCAGCATTTATTATTAAAAAAATTTTATTTTTAATAATAAAATGCTGCACGAAAGTCAGACACAGCATTTATTATTAAAAAAATTTAATTTTTATAATAAAATGTCATCCAAAAGTCAGACATGACATTTATTATTAAAAAATTAATTTTTATTAATTTTTAATAACAAAATGCTATCCCAAAAGTTGAACAAGGCATTTATTATTAAAAAATTAATGTTTAATAATAAAATGCTACCCTGAAAGTCAGATGCAGTATTTATTAATAAAAAAATTAATTTTTATAACAAAATGTCATTCCGAAAGTCTGACGTAGCATTTATTATTAAATAAATTAATGTTTAATAATAAAATTTTGCCCTGAAAGTTGGATGCAGCATTTATTAATAAAAAAAATTAATTTTTATTAATGTTTATATTAAAATGCTATTCTAAAAGTTAGACGCAGCATTTATTATTAAAAAAATTAAATTTAATAATAAAATGCTATTCCAAAAGTCTGACGCAGCATTTATTATTAAATAAATTAATGTTTAATAATAAAATTCTGTCTCGAAAGTCAGATGTAGCATTTATTAATAAAAAAATTAATAAAAATTAATTTTTATATATAAAAATACTGCCCCGAAAGTCGGACATGGCATTTATTAATAAAAAAATCAATTTTTTATATATAAATGCCGCTCTAAAAGTCAGACGCAATATTTATTATTAAATAAATTAATATTTAATTTGTAATCCATATGCCGATCAGAGAAAATCATATATATCACATAGGAAGAAATTTTGCAGATCACTAAGAAAATCCAATAAATTTAACTTTTTTAGTGATTAAGTAACACTAAGAAAAACGTGGCTTTTTTGCAATGTTATACAATAAAAATTTCGACATAATATTAAAAAATCCTTTTATAGATTATTTACGATACTTTATTAGTATTTTATTATTTTTTTAAGTTCTAAAGCTAGATTCCAAATCGAAAACTATATATAAAATTAAAATTTCAAAATGTCAAACTTTAAAATTTCTTTATATTTAACTAGTTCAATCTTCTTGTTGCTGTTTCTTGTTTATGTTCTCGTGTATAATGACCAATCTAATTTTGAATTGTAGCAACTTTTGGTATTTCTTCCATTATAATTTCACCTTCTTGTGCACATTGAACAAGTTCATTATACATATCTTATGTAGTATATCTATTACTTTTATTTATATTACCTGCTAAAAAATATCCTTCCAGTAATACTCTAATTTCCAATGATATTTTCTTTCCTACACCTCTTTTTCCAAACTTTTGATTGCTTTAAGTGCCCAACCCAAATTTAAAGGAAACGCGTTCACTCCAATACTATCATTATTTTTTTCAATAGATATATCTATATGTATCTTTTTATGAATTATAAATAATAATAAATAAATTATTTATCAATCTAATAATTTCAAAAATTATATCAATAATTATACATACCTTTTTTTGCTTCTTGCATCTCCTTTGCCAATTGGTTTTATAATAAGTTTATCAATTGTTCTCTATTTTCTTTATTATTCAAACTAATTTTTTGTTTTTCTAATTCTTTTATTAGATTTTCTCTTGTAAGATGATTTGGAATAAGACCTTATAATAATAAAAAAAGAAAAATCAATTATTATTGAATAAATAAATTTGATCAATAATAGATATATACATGATGGATTTGGTATTAATATTTCCTATTCCGACGATGATACAGTATGCATTGATACTTATAGTATAGGTTTGTTAATATCTCTTTTACGAAGTTTGTCTAATTGTATTACAGTAAAAATCTTCCATTCTCCTATACCAGCAGTGTATAAAATCTAAGTTAAAATTTATGTGCACAAGTTGATTAATTATTACTAAAATAAGAAAATCATAACATTTTCTTATGTAAAATTACCTTTTTTGTACATAATTTATCTATTTTTAGTAATAATTTGTGCACATTTTATGTTGTGTAATATGTGCACACAAAAAATCTATGTGTACATGTGCACATTGTGCACATAGATTTCACACACTGATATATAATAAAATAATCATTCTTCCATTATTATTTTTTATTATTATAATATATTATAATTAAATTCATAATATATAAAATCATAAAAAAAAATTATTTTAATTAAGGATAGAGGGCATGTCGATCATTTCTTATATATATCATGTGGCAAATTTTGCCAATTATTTATTATGATCCAAAAATTCGATTACATATCACTTCATAAATAAGACGCATATCACATGTAATCTATAACAAGTTTGCTATCTGTCAAAGATTTCAGGAGTACTCACGCCACATATTATATAAGCGAGTATATTATATTACTTTTTTTTCTCATTTTTTCTTATTATTCAAAATGTACAATTTACGAATACTTTATTATTCAATGAGTAAATGTAATAGAAATTTACAATGTCGCATTCCTAGTATCAACTTTTTGTACAAAAAAATCCTTTTAACTATAAAATTATCAAAGAATAAACAAAAGTTGGTTCATTGTTAACTTTTCTTCTGAGTTTGAAGTGTTACCCCTTCATAAAGAGTTGTTTGAATTTTCAATAAAAAAAAACTTCCATTATGATCTTGAAAAAACTCAAATACAAAATGCAAATGTTAGCTATATACATTTACAAAATAATGCTTTTGACGAAAGTTCGTAGGTTCCATTATTATCAGGTTATACTATATATATATCTTTAGAAGGAATTTTTTTAAATTTTCTATCAAAAAAGAGAAAAATTCTTTACAATTTGTTTGGCAAGAATTTGGAAAGGATTTTACATTTACTATTTGTAATGCTGAAGGTCAAGAAAAACTAGGATTTTACCTAATGATAAAATACTATAATTTAAAAAACACTTTGATTGCTTCAATTTTAGGACTTAATGAATCCACTATTATAGAAATTTTATAAAGAACAGTTCACAAAATTTTTCCTATTCATTTTTCTTATCAAAATCAAACTAAAAAGAAACAAACTTTGATCTGTAGTCTTAAACGAAAAAGTGAAGAACTTGAGAAAATTTGTGATAACGAAGAAAGTTCTATTATTCATAGAATAAGCTTGGAAGTAAATGGAAAAAACATTACTCCAGAATCTACACAGACTCTTATGGTAATACATGAAGAGAAGAAAGTTGCATTGTATAACATTAACCATAATATCAAAAAGTTAAAAGATAAAGTTACACAACTTCACAATGAAAAATCTAATTTGAACGATAAAACTGATCTAAATCAAAGATTTGAGAAAATAAAAAAGGCAGTACATGATATTTTAAATGAAAAAATTTGGGATCTACAATCTTAATTAATACAGAACAATATCTTTCTCTTGTACTCTTCCACCCTTACAGTCATTATTATAATACTGATTTTCATAATAAATTTTATCATGTATCTTATATTGGTTTTAATATTATAATTGATATGAATTATCAACTATGTGATACGATCGATTCATATTCCAATCAATCTAAAGGAATCAAATTTTCACATCTTGTTATAGCAGCGGCTTTAGCAAGTGGTAATAGTCATTATGCGATACAAACTGCATTAGCGGTCATTGGTATTACTATTCAAAGTTGTAGGCAATCATATCATCAATATCAGTCTCAAATGTTTTCTACAATTATATCAAGAGTTGTGGATTCTGCTAAACAAACATTAAATACTGCTATATCTTATACTAATACAAAGCAAAAAAATCTTTAGTCATTGGATTTGATTGCTCTTGGTCTTATTCTCATAATGCAGGTCAAGCTAACGGAGAATTTATTTATTTGGATGATCTTGAAGGTAAAGTTGAATGTAATTTTGATTATTTATAGAATTAAATCTAATTTAATTTTATTTATATATATTATAAGAATATGGACATAAAGCGGTTGTTGCCTTTCATGTAGTAGAAAAATCTTGTTTTATTACTAAAAAAGGGAAAAATGAAGCATCCACTAATGAAAAAGTTATAGTACAAAAAGGAAATTTTAATGCCAGTTCCCGCCAAATAAAGCATGCCATTTTAATTGCACTTTTAGAAAAGATTACTTCAATATTAGAAAAATCTGACCTAAGGTTGCTAAACGAAATCGAGAGTTTAAACAGATGTCTAAATGGTAAAAGTAAAACTTGGTTAAATTATATTAAAACCTTATTAAAAAATCTGCGAAATTTGAAAAAAGGTAAAACTATATCAAAGCTTATAAAAATGGTGAAACTATATCAAACACTTAGTAAAAATTTAGCAAAACTAAAGGTTTTACCATTTTGCTAAATCCAAAATGAGTTTAGACAAGCAATCTTAATCCAACCTTTTGATTGAAGTTTGTATTGATGAAGATTTAGATTCTAATAAAACTTTGGCAAACATTCCTGTTGTATCAGAAATTTACACAGATCTCAAACATGCAAGCAAAAATATTCGAAAAATTTATGTATGTTTTAAATTCATATATTAATTTTAATGTAATTATTATTATTTTGTTTCTTTTTTAATTATTTTATAATTAATAGTAAAAAAACAATATACTCGTTATCACAAGTTTGAGCAACATATAATGAGATACTTTAATGGATATGTTTTTGTTGCTGGTTTAAAAAAAAAATAATGAATCAGATACACCAACAAATGAAGAACTTCGTTATATTCAAGTAGAAGGTTTAATCCAACATTTGCTTAATGATCATAACCTTTGTTAGAAAGAAGTTTGTTGGTATAAAGAAAATGAAGAGTTACAATTACAATCTCTAACATTACAATCTTTTACAAAAATAGAAATTGAAGGGTTTCGACAAATGCTTTTAATGATTTTTAAACTTCCTATTCAACAAAGTCTTGTTACTCAATACCGAATAACTTATAATAAAGCTTTTAATAGAAAAATATTACGATTTCTTGATAAATGAATTGATTTTTGGGCATCTTATAAAGCATGGTATGCTTTAGCTATTATAGATAATAATAAGGGTCTTAATTGTATGATGAGGACTGTATGTAAAGCTGCTCAATGTATAATTTCAATTCACATGATCAGAGTTAAGGTTGCTGGTCGAAATTAAGAGTTTAGACAGACGTCTAAATGGTAAAAGTAAAACTTGGTTAAATTATATTAAAACCTTATTAAAAA